GCGGGACTCGATCCAGGGACTCCAGGATCATGACCTGAGCCGAAGGCAGTCGCTTAACCAACTGAGCCACCCAGGTGCCCCAATAATCCATTTTTCACTCATTTGATTGGCAAACATTAAAAAGAGCAATCAATGATACACAGGGAAAGGAGCCCTGGCACATCTCTGGTAGGAGTATAAATAGCCACAAACTTTCCAGGAGTAATCTGGAAATGTCTATTAATATTTAAAGTACACATACCTACCCAGTGACCAAAAATTACATTAACTTTGCCCTATAGAAAAGCTAAAGAAAATACCAGTTGTAAGGATATACATAAGGATGCTGCAGTGAGTTGAATGTTGGCCCTCCTACAGATATGTCCACCCAAAACCTGTGAATATAGCCATATTTGGAAAATGCATCTTTACACATGTAATTAAGTTAAGGATCTTGAAATGGGATCATCTTAGACTTAGGATGGACCCTAATTCCAGTGACAGATGTCCTTGTAAGAGAAAGGCAGAGGGAGATTTGAGATACAGAGACACAGAGACAAAGGTGATGTGAAGAATGAGGCAGAGAAGGGAGTGATGCATCTAAAGCCAAAGAAGGCCAAGGATAGCTGGCAGCTACTAGAAACTAGAAGAGGGGCATAAAACAGGCTTCCTCAGAGCATCCAGAAGCAAGCAACCCTGACAACTCCTTGGTTTCAGCTTTCTAGACTCAACAACTCTGAGAGGATAGATTTCTGTTGTTTTAAGCCACCCAGTTTGTGGTAAAGTGTTAAAGTAGCAACAGGAAACTAAGACATGTTTATATTGTTTGTGGTGCATAACAGACACAAAGAAACTGGGAACCACCTGATTGTCCATAGGTAATGGAATCCATGAATCTGTTGTACTACCTCTGTACTATGGAATATTATGCTACAGGGAAAAATGCTAATTCTGGAGTGATAAAGAGTGTTATGACCCTTTTAGTATATTGCTGACCATTTATACATATGTTTATATGAGCATAAAGAAAGGGGTGGAAGGATTTATAGTAGGCTGATCATATTGGATAACTCAGAGGGCTGAAAGAGGAAGACTTGGGTGGGAAGGAGTTATCCTTTTTTTTATTATTATTATTTGATGTATTTATTTGTCAGAGAGATTGTACGAGCAGGGGGAGCAGCAGGCAAGGGGAGAAGCAGACTCCCCGCTGAGCAAGGAGCCTGATGTGGGACTCGATCCCAGGACCCGGGAATCGTGACCCGAGCCAAAGGCAGACACTTAACCGACTGAGCCACCCAGACGTCCTGATCTTTTTTTTTAACATACATAGATCTTTGAATTATCTTACTTATTATAACCCGTATATGTATTAACTTATTCTTTTAATTAAATAAATATAGTCTTGTCTTATTTATTTCTTTTTTTTTTTAATTTTATTTATTTATTCATGAGAGACAGAGAGAGAGAGAGAGGCAGAGGGAGAAGCTGGCTCCCAAGGAGCAGGGAGCC